TGAATGGAGTACCAGTGATTGGAAACGGTCCTTTTAAGCGGATGTTTCCATTAATTTGCTTTCCTCCTTAAACCTTATAATGTTTTTTCCTCAAGTGTCGGCAGAAGGGCTGAAGCATCTCTTGATCTTGCAGATTGTGTGTCCATGTGGGCCAGTCCAGGCACTACATGGAATTTCCAACACAGTATTCACTTGTTCTCTGAGCTCTTGATGTTTTGCTTAGTTCATTTTACTGGTACTAAAAAGGGAGAACATCCAAGGTCTAAATTCTTAAAGGTGATTGCAGACAGCAATTCTGTTCACAAATATGCTATATGTACAGCTGATTTTCAGAAAAGCTGAGGTCGTCTCCTTCTGCGTGACTTCAGGCAAAGTTGTGGTAGTTTGATGTCCCCAAAGAGCTGCAAAAAATAGTGGTCGCCCTTTAAAATATCAGTCAAATGTTTAGAGTTGATTAAGACACTTCAATTAAAGAAAATCTTTAGAAAATTATTAGTTAATACCAAAACCCTGTGAAAAATCAGACTAATTTAGTCCATCCCTTACACTGTCTCCCATTCTTACTCTGCGATTTACCCAAATCATAAGAACTCTGCTGGTTTAAACATCCCAATGGTCAGGAGAGCTCCTGTATGTGAGAACTGGGATTGCAATCTTCAGAACGTGCCTGAGCAGATATTTAGTCTTGAATTTCGCACACCCCAAGGCCCAAATTCCAGGATATTAGTAAGATAGAAAAAGCTGTCAGGCACCTATCTTGTTCTGTTGGAGAAAAAAAGGTGGAAAAAAAAGAGAGAGAAAGGGAGAGGAAAAAGCCCTTGGCTTCATCCTAGTGAGGAACTTTTTCCCATCTCAATTTAGCTGAAAAAAAGAGCCAAGACTAACAGCCAATCCTTAGCAACATAGGGACCCCTTTCAGAAAACTGTTTAATCCCATGCTTAAGTGTACCTATGGATATGGGTTCTGTTCAAACTTGCATGTTCTGCTGGATTTGGATGGATTTAGGTGGAAACTTGAAGATCTGGAGAAGTAACTCTGTTTTAGGATGGTTGGTGAGGCACTGTCCCAGGCTGCCCATAGGAGCTGTGGCTGCCCCATCCCTGGGGATGCTCAAGGCCAGGTTGGACAGGGCTTGGAGCAGCCTGGGATAGTGGAAGGTGTCTCTGCCTGTGGTGGGGGTTGGAATGAGATGATTTTAAAAGGCCCTTCTGCAGTTCAAACCACTTCAGGATTCTGTGATAAAAGAAGGGTATCCTGGCTGTGATTTGCTGTTGCACCACTCCAGCAGAGAAGCCCCACGTTCCCATGCTCCCAGACGTGCTGGACGTGTTTTGATGAGCTCACAGGAATTCAGGGCTGGCTGAGGCCTGGCAGGTCACTCAGCCAAGCTGCTGCGCTGGGGCCAAGACCATCCCTGACGTGTGTTTGCCTGCAGTTCTTGCAAACCCCTTCCCAAGGGACTCGCTGACTTCCCTCTTTGCTTTCAGGGATTCACAATGTCTGTGGTTGGGAAGCGCTGCCTGATGTCAGAGCCACACCACCTCTGCCACAAACCCTGTGGGATACAGAGCTGTTCATGCCCTTTCCATAACCCCCTGGAGCTGTGCTCCTCTCCCAGACCCAGCAATTCCTGCTGACCACTCTCACTGAGCTACACTCAGTGACCCTGAGCTCTTTCCTCCAGGTCAATTTTCTAGATTTTTTCAGAATGTGTTGATCCTCCAAATCCTCCCCAAAATCCCCAAGGTGCAATATGAGGAGGTGCTGGAGGACCTGGAAATCCCAGTGGCCATGTGGGGTGACCCATGATCTGGGGGTTCTCACGCTGATAAAATGATGTGGATGATTTTTCTTTTCTTTTGGTAAAAGAAAAATGCTGGGATTCAGGCATGGCTCTGCCCCACAGGATCACAGAGTGATTTAATATTTTAAGCTATGAAACTTGGCCTTTAACAGTTTCTGCAGGGTGCAAGGGGACTTACAAGATAGCACTGTATTATTCACTACCATGGGCCACCTTCTGAATATTATAAACCTTAATTTACTTTTTTATAATCTGAATGGACTTTTTAAGTATATCTAAGGGAATTGGAGTGAGGAGAAACATTGCTTAATTCAGCCATTGCATCCTTAAAGCCAGATTGGAAACATGGAAACCATATGTGAGCTTTTAGCTAATAAAATAAAATGCCAAAATGTGGCGGCTGAAGCTGTTGCACCCAAAATATAATTGCACATATGCTCATTTACTCACTTATAATCAAAACATTAAAAATAAAAAAAAAATCTTTGATACTCAGACTAGGTGTAACTGTTGGACTAAGTTATTTTACAAAATTATTTTACATGGAAAGAATGTGCATGGGTTTTTCTAATGGCAATATGAAAAGCAAACTGTTTAAATACAGCCACACACAGCAGCAATTGATAATGTTTCACCTGAACACAAAAATGTCCTCAAAATCCTTTAGCAAGCCAAATTTATATTCATTTTACAATAAGGTAATCTTACTTTTAGATGGCTCTAGACTACATATTAATCCTAAATGTGTGTTTTATGCTGACTGTTGGTTTTCTTAGTGGAACATTCATTTTTTCATTACTATGAGTCCTGAGGAGATATTTAGCCTTGCCAAAGGTGCCAGAACTGAAATCATCTCTTTGCTTTAACACTTCATCCCTCATGTCCTGACTGTCTCTAAAACATTACTTTTAGCTGGTTTTAGCCTCTCCAATCCAAGTTTTACTGTCCCAGAACTGATTGGAAGCCTCTTGGAGATGTTGAAAATGGTCTGTTTAAAAATCAGTCAAAAAGACCCTGCTTCTTATGCAGAGGTTAAGGATCACGTAGTCCTTTTCCTCCCATTTTTTGCCCTGATATCACTTGCCTGAATCCAAGTGGTCTCAGCTCAGCTTGGGCAGCAGGGAGGGGATTTGCAGCACGTGGTCCCTTGGGAGAGGTTTGCTGAAGGCAGAGAGATGGGCGAGGAACATTGATGGCATCAATCTTTGGAGGCCGAGGTGTAGTGCGGGGCTGAACCACTGATGGGGCCACAATAAATTCCCTTTTCCTGTGGATTAGCTGTCAAGAGTGGGAAGCAGGAGGAGCAGCATTGCTCTCCCTGACCGATAGACTGCACTAAAACTTGTCTGAGCATAAACCTCAACCCAGTGTGCAGCAAGGTGCCGTTGTCTGGCTGGAAATGACACGAGCAGCTCTTTAACTTTGGCTCCAGTGACCTTCCTGGTGCTGCCCTCTCCAAAGAATCTCTCCCAAGGCCAGCACTGAGCTCCTAGAAATTGGCCAGAGTGACTGAAAAAATGCGTTACGCTGGTGAAGAATCTGTTTTTTCAATTGCCAGCGCTTTATTTTTTTCAGAAACGCCAGAGAAGGGGGTAAAAATTATAATGTGCCTTCCAAAAGGATGAGAGAGGAAAATTAATTAGTAGGGAGGCAATTGGATGGGAATGTGGGTTAAGTGGCTGGCTCTGCCATTGGCTTCTTTCGCAAGCATGGCCAACATCCATAATTCTTCCTCTCCCCATCTCCATGTCCCTCCTGCCCCCGTCCTCCATCTGTACAACAGCTCCCATCTGTAAAGTGTTTCCATTGTTTGTCTCAAGGGCTTGATGGCTTTTGACTCTGTGCAGCGCGTTGCACAACGGCCTCTGGATGAGATTTTATAAACAGCAAATATAAATAGGAGACTTTTAGGGGAGACTAATGAAAAAACTTTAGGAATAATCTGTTTAAAGTGAATTTGAAAGTGAAAAGCTGACATGCAGATGCGGTGCTGGGATATCTTTAAGATGGGCTAGCCAAGAAATTGGCTCTTGTTTATTTTCTTATGTGATAAGTTCGATAGCAAAACTGTATTTTTTTTAATTATAAAATCAGATGGAGCAGCCAAAGGAATGAGTGAAGTCAGATCAAAGATGATAAATTGAGTCTGATGAGATGAAGTCTTTACCTATTTCAAATACCCAACTGAAAGTCTAATTTTGCAGAAAATTCTTTCTTAAAAAAAAGGGAGAGAGAGAGAGAGAGGAAGAAAAAAAAAAAACACAAGAGAAATGAAAAGAAAAACATGCCATAGCCAATAAGTTGTGAAAAACTCTGGAGACTGGCACTTTCAAATGCTTGGCAGGTTTTTAAGCCAATTTTTATTTAGTCCACTATAACTGTTGGAGGGTCTGTGATTCCCAACTGTTTCACATCAGAGAATGAAAACAACTATAGCCCAGCCAAGACCACATTGGTGACTGCCAGCCCCTTTATGTGCCAAACATGAAAGCAACAAGTCCAGATGCTTTGATCCCAGCATTTTTGGATTTAGCCCAGAATGTTTTTAACTCATGTTAGGACAACATACATTATAACTGGAAATCAATCAATAGCACTGTGACCTTCAAACGCAGTAAATGTTTGGAGTTAGTTTCTGAGCGTGTAATCTAAATTGGGGATTGGAAGTTGGAAACAATCCTAACCTAACAGAAAAAAAAAAAAATAAAGTGTATAGTTTTAAAATCTGGAGTTGCAAGGAAGCAACAAATGAAGGTTTAATTGTTTAGGGAAGGATTATCAGCACTGGAGATGCATCTGATGTGGAGGGAGGGCTGGAAAAGCCCAAGGAGCAAAGCAATGCCATCCACACAAGCGTGGTGGAGGATAAATGGGATAAATGGGAGAAATTGATATGGATAAATAAATAAATATAGCCCTTGCCCACTCTGGACATGGTTGGTGTTCACTCCACACTGAGGGTCTACAGGGCAGGGTGGCACAGAAGGGTGAGGAGATAACCATGGGAAACAGGCATGGAAAACCCATACATGCATTCCAGGAAAATTTATTCCCAGTATCTTCATCCTGGACATTTCACATGAATCCTGAGTGACAGCTCCATGCTGAGGGACTCATTTGACAAAGTTTGTAGCAAGGAAAAGCTGAGAACAGATTTATTGCAAATATTGCTGTGTTACAGGCCAGGCTTTAGCCTGTCTTATGGACAAACACAAGATCCCTTTCCCCTTCACACTGCTGCTCCATCAGTGGACCAACACCTGACATGCACCAATTTAAATCAAGGTCTGACCTCTACAGGGAAGAAGTGTCTTCAAAAGGTAATTAAAATAATTTAATCTCTTTTTCTTTTTTTTTCTTCTGCAATATGATTTAATTGTATTGCCACTAAATACCAGTCTAGACAAGGTCTTGTTAAAAGCTTTAAAATCCCCCAGTAGTTTTACCCATTAGTGGTGGTGAGTAGCTGTTGGCATGTGGTCCAAGCTCACACAAAGCTCTCTTATAGTAGTGCTCCCAAACCCTATCAAAAGGAATAATAAAACACCCAGAAAGACAAAATTAAGGGGAAAAAAAAGCTAGAAAAGCAAGATGCTTTTAGGAAATATGAAACCTGTAATTATGCAAATCACTAATTGTCAAACGGCTGTGTCAATAAATTAGCAGCCCCATGCCCAGCCTGCACTTGTGGGGACACAGGGACAGTGGTGATGGCAAAAGGGTGTCCATCCTCATAGCATAGTGCAGGGAAAGGAGAGCCAGGTCAGTGGGCACATGGAAAGCGCTGGGAGAGGACGCACTGCCCTCAGGCTGGAGTGTCACCTGCTGGTGGCAGGACCTGAGCAGTGATTCTGGGGGCTGGCAGAGGCAGCACCACCCCTGGGCTGAGCCTGGGCAGGCTTAAGTGAGCTCCAAAGCCCTCTCAGAAGGGCTGACTGCAGAGAAATGTTCTTCATGGCTTTGTTCTTCATGGCTTTGCTTTTACATCTCATACCTGGGCTTTTCGCACCTGTGTTCCTCACACCTGTACTCCCTTTGCCCTCTAAGCACAGCCCGCACCCTCTCTCCTCTTCCAGTGCACCACATCCTTATTTTTAAGAAAAGGGCAGATGCCCTGAGTGCCACAGGGGCACAAAAGGGTTTTCATGAGCCCCCAGCCTTCACTGCCACAAAAAATGTTTTTTGTCAATACCAGGAGAAAATAACCCAGCGGTAATAATTGCCCTCGTTTGTCAGCCTGGGCTGATGACTTTCCCATTTCATTTCCTCCTGTGTAATGTTACAGGGCGCATATATGAGATGTTCAGCAAGGACTGAGGCAGGGAAGTCTGCAGGAGTGTTTAGTGGGAGGTCAGGAATTTTTAAGAGGTATTATTACAAGGCGGTGTGGTTTGGGTCATGTTTCTTGCAGACATCTTGTCAGGAAACTTTTTGAATAATAAATTATAATCTTTTTATATATTGTACAAGCTTATTAACCTTAATCTTCAAACATAAAACTGAATTTTGAAAATATAATCAGAAAAGCTCAGAACCTAAACAAACAACGTAGAAACATAAAAAAAGAAGAGAAATAAAACATATGCTGGCCAGAGTTTTAGAGACAGTAGCCACAGCACAGCAGATCTTAATTAGCAGCTACCTGCAGTGGCAGTGGCCTGGGATGAAATGTTTTGATGTGTGTAAATGTTTCTATAAAACAGTTGAAGCTTTCTTAGATCCTGTATCACTTTTTCCCTAAGCGTTGCGGTTTTCCAGAATGGACATTTCACAGACTGGGATCTCAGGAAGATCTAAAGTCTTTGCTTTCTGTTTTTGTTTCTCCACTCATAAATTGAGGGTACTTACACTTATTTACTATGAAAGGCTCTTAGTGCTTCCAAAAACCCAGTATTTAATGGCTGGGTAGGACCAGCAGTTGTGGTAGCAATAGTTGAAGGCACAATCCTGCCATAAATCCTGTTGAAAAGTAACTCCATATTAAGTGATACAGAATTCCTGCCTGAAATATTTCTGCAGTGCCATCTTTTGTTGAAAATATTCTTGAGCTCAGCCAGCACAGACCTTTTCATAAGTGTAAAGCAAGCAATTTCTGTTCATTCTGCCAATCCTCCTGCAAGTGGCAGGGCACTGCTGAGTCTGACTCACCCAAGGCACTTCACAAACTGAATCCTTAAAGGTGGCTTGGTGACCAAGGCTCAGCTCTGCAGGGATTTCCTCATGGCAGGACCTTATCTCTGGTGTGCATGTGAGGAAATTTGCTTTATCATCACCTCTTCCCTTCCAGATGTGTCAGGACTGCCCAAAATCATGGCAAAAAGCAGTGATGGAACCACTGACATCACTTTGTGTCCCAAAAAGACATGGAATGTTGAGGTGGGTCTTGAAGAGCTTTTGGAGAAGGAGGAGATGCCCAGCACTATGCTCATCCCTTGTTCATCCCTAGGGACTGGCTTCCTGGCACAGAAAGAGACAGAAAAGCAGGACCAATGCAATCTGTGAGTCAGAACTTCATGGTAAGGCTGATAATGTCTGATAAATTCAGGAGAAATTCCACCTTTCTCCTGCCCAAGTCAGGCAGGTGGCTGCTGATTCTGCAAAAAGGAATGCCTGCAAATTACTGGGACACCCCTTAATTCATGTGCACTGTGGATCTGAATGGGAGAGAAAATCTATTTACATGTGTATGCGTGTGCCCCACCTCTTGTGCCCACGGTGCTCGTTTCTGGGCTCATATTTCTGCCCTAAATTCCCTGGAGCCCAAAATGAAGGATCTTGTCTTGCAGCGCACACCTCCACCCACATCCCCAGGGAAATCATCAGATGCAGAGGATGCTCCATGTCCTGTCCTGATTAAACCCTGCACAGTCCAGCCCTGCCCCCAGCTGGCACCTGGTGAGCAGGTAATATTTACAGAAATACAAATCAGGGAGCCCCTTTCTAATGTAAATATTCCCAGAAGGATTTGACCCTAGGTACTAATTTCCTGTCTTAATCCGTAGTCTAATAGAGTGTTCTTGTAAAATTCAACTTTTCTTCAAAGGTGCTTTTTTTCAAATTCTTGATGGAGGTTGGTGAAGTGATGGATTGTGAATCTCCAGCTCAGAGAGAGGGTGAATGTGATTCAGGTAATTATGTTCCAGTTACTGTTACATATTAGAGATAACTGTAGATTTGCCTTATCTGCGGTGTCACATTTAATTGGTGTTTCTCAGTGTTGTGTCAGGACTGAAGACACACAAAGCTTTTTAATGAGAAATCTGATCTCACCTGGGGGCATCTTCTGTCTGTAGTCATTCTTCTCTATCCCAGGAAATACTCCTATTTATCAGTAACACAGCAGCTCTTGATGAAAGAAAACAATCTTCAAGTGGTCATGAGGAGGTGCTAGGAGGTCTAGGATGAGTGGACAGATGGACAGGACAGAACCAAGAGTTTATTCTCTTGCAATGCTACTTACCCATGTTTGAATTTCTGTCCATTTCTCCCCATTTTTGTAAGTTCTCCAAGGTAAGAATTACACTATATTGGTACAGAGATGACCATATTGGCTCTCATCTGATTTTTGGATCTGTTGCTCTTCCTATAACACAAATAATAACTATGGAATACTACCAGACACTGGGGATCCTTTAAAAATTTCATTTCAAAGTGAGATCCAGATCCAGGCTTAGAACAACCATTTCTGGCACAGGCATAGAATAGGAAAGGGAATTGTAGATCCTTTAATTAACCATGGGCCAGGTAAGATATGTTGGCAAATCCCACTGAGAAGCTGCTGATTCCAGCAATGAGCTACAAGGGAACCTTGCATTCTCCTGGAGGAAACATCCTCACAGCTGAACCACACAGCCCATCAGCCCCACACAACTGCCTGGATTTATCCTCTGCAAGCTCTCACCCCCATGAACAGAGTCAGCCCAGGGTTGTTAAGCTCGTGAAACTTGATGGGCTCACAGCACGAGGCACTTCAGCTGCTGCTATGTGGGATCCCCTTCTATGTTCAGGTTTATTGAAAACCTCATGTCCCATCTGTTTCTGGATGCTCCTTTCATGTTCCTCATCTCTTTAGGCTGTCTTTTCCAAAGAGCTCTGCAGATCCATGTGGGCTTAATAAACAATTTTGGTGTGCACATATAAGCGCAAGGACCAAGATGTCTTATTTCATAAAAGTCTGTCACTGATTTATTCCTCCTTCTGCTGCCCTGCTTCCTGTTCATTTCTCCTCACACTTCCAGAGTGAGAGACACTGTTTACATTAAGGATGTTTCTTGTGTTTACAGATGGGGCAGCATTTGTAAATTATTCCAAAGAGTTGTTGTTTCCAAGGAGCCTCTTCAGGCTTTCAAGAAGGGCTCTCACCATGTTAGTGCTTGGGGCTCATTGTTTGTTTTAAATTTGTTTTATATGTCCTAAAAACCTCCCATGGGACCAGCCAACTCCTGATGCTGTTATAGCCTCCCTCCCCACATTTTCTGGTGGCTGGACAGCCAGGAATGCATGTGGACATTGCATCCAGTATAATTTCTCTTCTCCTTGAGTGGAATTGAGTGTGACACTCAGTTAGGGAGGTTTATTTCAGAAAGGCACCATTCCACCTCCCCTCTGTCCCCCGTATGTGTTGAGCCTCTACATCATAACTGGGAGCACTGGAGTTTTATAAAAGCACTGCTTTTTCTTTCAGGAAAAGGAGCAAAACCACACTAGGTTTGTGTTTCATTGCTTTGTGTTCTTTGTCATTTGAGTTCTGCTTGAAAGACACAGTTGTTGTTTTGGATATTTTCAAATTAATTACAAATATTGTCCGGGAATAGATCAGCCAGAGGCATGGCTCCTCCTGGAAGTCCTTCTGCCCCTCATGGTGGAGTTTGTCCTTCTCTTGACATGTGAACCATAGAGGAACACTGGAAATAAACACATTTATCAGCTAGATGTGCATGCACTTGTCATGGAAGAGTGGACACGAATTTGAATCGACTGCCATCCTTTTTATCCTGGACGCAGGAGGATATATTTCCCCTACCATTTTGACATAGTTTTGCATAGCCTAAAATAAAAAGCACATGTTTGCATGAAGGCAAAACGCACGGATATCTAAACTGTCAAAGAGGAGCAGTGACCAAGCCAAATATCTTTGGCTAAATGAGGCAAGAATTCAAAGCTGAGCACTGTTGAAGAAGAAAATGCCAAATTCATTGTCATTTCTTGTAGTTTTTTATAAAAGAGGAGAGTTTTTGGCTGATCTCAGCAGGCAAATCTGACCTGGAGCATTGCTGAGCCAGTGGGACCTGCACGTGCATGTGGCAGCGGATGGCTTTTGGAAAACCTCCCCTGAGCAGCAGCATTTCTATGTCTTCTAAGTCAAGCATTCAGCTCCTACTTGTTAAACAACTTTATTGAAATTATACTAGACCCAGTTTCTTGGATGAGATGAAAGACTCAAGTCTTAGCCTCCTGTTTTACAGATTTATTTTTAAATCAGATTTTAAACTTCACAGTGTCCCAATGTTCTTACTAAATTGCTGTCACTTAGTCAAATCCTGGAGGACTATTTTTAACCATTTCTTCTCCAAAGTAAATTCCCCTGGGGGGAATTGAACTCAGCAGAAATATTTGTCTGAGCAAGCACAGTGGGAGAAGTTTTAAAAGACGCTGCACTTGCTGGAGCTTCTTATGCTTGTGAGAACTGTGGAAAGTAATTAAAGTCACTAAATAGATATTTAAAACCTCAATTTTGGCAAAAACCATCTCCATCTGGAGATATGTACAGAGAAACTGTTGTGACCTGAAGCATGGAGAAGTAACAGCGTTTGTTTAGAGAAGAATTTTGAATTAAACACAGAAACCTGCCTATGTATGGGTTTAATACACACAATTTCAGTTTTAAACATAACCCATGAGCCAAATTTTGGGTAGAGCTGCTGGTGCTGAAATGTTATCCAGGAAAAAGTTTGAAAGGAGCTGATACTTCTGTGATAATGCAGCTTTGGGTACTTGATTATTCTTTCCATTTCTGTTTTTACTATGCTCCATTACCAGTAAAATATGCAACGTCAGTCCAGCTCTACCAGTTTTGAAGTGCTCCTTGAGAATTGTAGGAATCTTTTGGCAGGAAAAATGTATCTTTCATACGAAATTCTATAACTATCAAGATAAGTTTTAAAAATATTTTCCTTCTCAAGGAACTGCAGATCAAGCACTGCTCTGCAAGCTGACACTCTTGATGAAGCAATGAGCCCGAAAGCAAAGTGAAGAGGCTACAACTCCATAAATTTGCTGTTATCTGAGTGCCTTTCCAGAAGGCACTTGAATTGATTTGTGCTCCTGGAAATACCATTTTCTGTGTCAACACTGTGGGATGGTGCTGCCAAAAAGCCCCTCATCCTTCTGGGGAAAGTGGCAGTTCAGATGTGGATGTGCCTGACTGTCACGAGCTGTTTTCCCCACTTTTGTCTGGCTGCAGCTCCTAGAAGTAGCCAACCTTTGAGATTCAGTTCCTGCTATAATGGATTTGAGCAGGAGGTCCTTAGAGAGTCACTTTTCAAGCCCCTTGACCCTCCATGCCTTGAGTTTTAATATCATTCCTATAAGCACCTCTGACATAAAGCACCTTTGATGTAAAGAGAAAGTTGGGTTCTCTCTTGGCCATTATGGGAAATATTATCTTTCAAAAGAAGGGCAGCATTTACATCTCTAAAAAAAAAAATCAATTCAAGATCAGAAGCAACAACTTCCAATGCTATTTTTCTTTCAAGTTTTCAGTACCCTGAACCATCTGAGCTCACCCAATAATGGTGATCACTTCAGCTGAGCAGTTACTAGGCAGCCTCCACCAAGATGAATTTGGGTAAGTCACCATGCTATGCCAATATTGTTTTGGGGTGGACAATTTTCTGACGTTTGATTGCCCTGGGTAAGTCATTTTTGGTGAATCATTATACCAAAATGCAAAGAAGGTAACTTGAGAAAGATGCTTGTGTTTCTGTAGCACTTTGCAGCAGATGTCTCCTATTTACTGCTTTATTTTATTGCTTAATGACTGGATCTCAAGTAATTGAGCGATTTGACAGATATTTATTTGTAAAACGTGATTCATTTAGTCAGACATTGTGAAACAGTTTCATGCCAGTTCTAGATATTTTGGTAGAACTTTCTAAAGATGCAAACATTCAAGTAAATTGCTCATGTCAGTAGCACATCCACTTTTTACTGTTCTTTACTGCGCACAAATATTTGAGTTGACAAAAAAGCGCTGGTGAACAGACTACAGGGACTTCTGAACTTTAATCAACCACAAGCACTGGCAGGGTTCAGAAGTAATTTCCTAACTATGAATCACCTGCAGACAATGAATCACATTCTGGAGAAGATTGCCAAATAAAACAAGCCATCATGTATAGCTCACATTGACTGGACTATGGAAAGGCCTTTGATTCACCTAGCTGAAAGAGAAGATGTGATGAAAGCACTGAAATAAAGGCATAAAAGAATGTAGGAATCCCAAACCACATCTGCCAGCAGCGAATGGCGACATTTAAGTTCGACGAGGAAGATAAAAGAAAGCGAGACTAAGCAAAACAGCAGCCGAGGAGACACTATCTTACTGGAAAAGACTTGCCTGGAGAAGAACTTCACAAAGCATTTCTGGGAAGAAGACCTTAGCTTAACTCCAACCATATGTGCGAGCTCGGATTTCGGCTGTGATGGAGCAGTTGTCTTTGCTGAACTGGCCAATGATCTCCAGGCGATTTTTAGGGGAATGGAAGTGGAGGGAAGACAAATAGCAGGGGAAGGCTGCGGGGACCAGGCGCTCTCCCTGTTGGCTTGCTGAGGTGAACAGAAAGCTCCTCCAGGGATTCCACTGGCCAAACTCCTGCTGCTGGAGAAGACGTGTTAGGTTTCCACTTCAAAGAGAAAGGGGCCAAGGTTTTGGGTGCTAACAATACAAAAAAAAAAGGACAGAATCTTGTATAATGTTTTTCAGAGACAGCGCTGAATAAAGGGATAGTGAAATAGGAGAAGAAACCAAAAACTTCCTGGAGACTGTAAAGAATCACACATAAGAGTAAGTCCTACCACAAGGAAAAGAAACAGAAGAGGGGATAAAATTGACTTTTTTTACTATTTTATTTCTTTTGAGAGGTCTTTGGCCATGCTCTCCCCAGCAGTGAGACAATAGCTGGTAAAGCTATGACAGCGGAAGCAACGAGAGCCCTGCAATTATCTCCACTTTGATGATTCCCCTCTGGTTGTGCCAGCATTCAATAAACCCTCAAATTGCATGCTGTAGCAGGAGAGTGAATTTACTGCAGCCAAAATCATATGAGTGCAATGAATCAAGACAGCCTTTCCGCACTGCTCAGGTCTGGCTCGTGCGTTCCGCTCCACAGACTAACATATATTAAAAACAAAAAAAAAAAAAGAAAGAAAGAAAGAAAATGGTACAGCTGGATTCCAAAATCCTAACAGCACCTACCAGCTAACTGCCAGCATAAAGAGGTCAAAATTCCAAAATTTTCCTTCTTCTCAAAGGCGCAAAATTAGGTAAAAAAACAGAATTTGCTTCAGAGAAATGAGCTATGGTTGCCCGGCGCTGAGGTACTGGGCTGTAAAAAGTCCTCTGACAGGGGACTTACAGACACCCAGCCTGATTTGCAGTTGGTGAAGGGTTCTTTGCTTGGATTTGTTTTGCAGGACCGTGAGCACTTCCCCGCTCAGCCACGAGAGAGCAGCCGGCAATTAGGGCTGGAGGGATGCGAATCACCCGCAGCGCTCCGGGAAAAATCCCTGCTCGCACTTCCCTGCTCGCCTTGAGCTCTTCAGACAAAATTTAAGTCAAGCCGGGGTTAACTAAACCCTCGCTGCTTGTTTTCAGCCGCTGCGAGGTTTGGTGGTGCAGGGATGGGGTGGAAGCTGTGGATGCTGCCCCAGAGCAGGGGATGGGGAATTTTGTCCCCCGGCTCAGGATATCCTTGTTCAAAGCCAAAGGCTCTCTAATGACTGCTGGCAGCTTCGGCTGCCCTTTCACGGCGGCAGCTCTGTACCTAAAATCTGAAAGCTGAGTTGTCCGTTTTGCTGTGTGCTGGATAATAAACCCAGGCATTGGCTGATCAAAGCGCCTGCCCCGTGAGGCGCAGCTGAAATAAGTATTCCACACTTTATTTCTCACATGTTAGATACAGTGATAGAGGCAAGAAATGTTGTGTGGACAAGCAGGCACGGGGAAGGGTTCTGTGGGGGTCTCTTGCCTGCTGCTGTCCCTGCCAGGGCAGATTCTATTGAATCATGGAATCATTTAGGTTGGAAAAGGCCTCAAGTCCATCCATTCCTGATGCTGGTGTGGAGAACTGCTGCACTCCCAGAATATACTTAACTCTTGGTTATAAACTCTTCTTTTTCAAAAAGCTTATGCCAGTTTTTACTGTGAGGTTTGGGGTGAGCTATCAAGAAAGGAAAGCAAATATTATAAATAATAGAGAATTATTAATGTTTGCGGACAATACTTTCAAACACGGATAGCATTTTAAAAATGCAGAAATCCCCTGAAACCTCAGGTCACACATGAATCATGTAGTTCACGAGGCACATGTTTACTTGTGTGGTTACTGGGGTACATATTTTCACAGGCATGTAACAGCAACTCCCGGGCACGAGTCCGGGGCAGCGTGCCCAGCCCGGAGCTGGGATGTCCAAGGCTCAATCCCATCCCACTGCCAGAGCCCTGCACACCTCCACGGCCTGGCTGTGCTTGAGCCAGGCTGGGCACTGTATGGCACAGGGAGGACCCTCAGCAAAGGGGCTGAGAGTTTTGGGTTCAGCTGTGGGATGTCCCTGAGCTGGGGTTCCATCACTTGTGGACAGACTTTGCTCCCAGGACTTTCTCCTGGGAGAAGGAGGAAGAGGAGAGGAGGAAGGACAGAGGGTCTTAGGCTGAGAAGTCTTTCAAAAGGATTTTAATGCTTTGCCCCACATCCTCAAAGGCACTGAGCTCCCAGTGAGGAGCCCCTGCAGCGCCAGCCCACTCCCAGGTACTGTCAAGTTGAAAACTTACAACAGAAATAAATAAATAAATAAATAAATAAATAAATAAATAAATAACCCCTAACAATAAACAAAAAAGTAAAGCTAAATAACAACAAAGTAATTACAGCCGCCCTGTGTGTTTTTTTCTTCTCTTTGGCAGCCCCTCGCAGAGACGCTCTGGCTCCAGCCATTCAAGCAGTTTCCTATCCCTTGACTTCAAAACCAGCAAGAACCAGCAAGAACCAGCAGCTGTGCCACCACTGACCTGCTCCAGCCCTGGGACAGAGCACACACAGCCCCCCAGGACCGGTGGGTGAATCCCTCAAGCCAGGGGAGCTTGAAATCACCTCCTCATTCACAGCCACTGTGGCTGCTCTGTCCCTTAGGTGAGCATTTTCTCCAAATTACATTAATGGATATGCAATTAAATGCAATACTTACATGTAAGTACCTATTATTACATGCAATATATGAGTATTGTAAGTACAGAAAATCAGGAAGGAGTGAAAAGCAGCAAAATGAGTTTGAAACCACTTCAACTCAGGGATATTTCCAGCCCTGCGTTAGGGAGAGTCAGCCTAATTCAGCAGAGGCTTCATTCAAGTTACCCTGTTGTAGGAAAACCACTAATTAAATCTACACTTAAATATCAGAGAAATTGCAAGAAAACAAAATCTTGCTGGGTACTTAATAAACACTTAATATTTAGTGCTTAATAAAAAGGTTTATGTCAATATGCTCAGCTGAGAGAGATCAAATAGCTGGTTCAATAACCAGGTGCTACCAAATTTAGTAGAAGGTGCTTTGAAGGACACACACAGTGTTTGGAAAAAAATCTTCCAACTGAAGTACATAATATATCTATTCTTCTAAATAAATTTGGGGTTACTGACAGGCAATAGCAGGTGGTACCATGGGAAAAGCAGAGCCAAGCAGCCAGTGCTCAAGTTAAATTTTCACAAAGTTTTCTGAATTCCCTTCATTGGATCATCCTAAAATGTTTTCAGAAGTCGAAATTTTTCCTCCTGAGATATGTTGTTTATATCGACCGCAAAAAATCTTAACTGAATCTCTGCAACTGATGTCTAAGTTCAGAGAACAAAAATAATCTTTCCAAAGAGTGTTTAAGGTGAAATCAAGCTGGGGTTGCAAAAGGCTGGTGGAAAACATATTGGATGGCATGGGCTGACAGTCAGGCTGCTAAAGACACCTTCTGGATCAGTTTTAGGAATTGCTTATTAACCACTTCAATAATAAACAGAGAGTCTAAGGGCAGGCAATAAAAGAAAATCCTGTGGCTATTTCACTCAATATCCTCAAGCACAACACATTTCATTCAAAAATCCTTTGTTGTTGACTCTGTAATGTGATTCAATGTTTGCTTCTGCTAATGATTTTTAGGGATCGTTCATTGGCCTTTTGGGGCTATAAATGCAGTGAAGATCTGCAAGACATGTAAGGGTTCATTTTGGTTTTGAAATGTAAACCATATAAAAGGAATTTAAATTATGATTTAATCTTCACTAACAAGTTTCTGGAAGACCATGCAGCCTGAAAGCATTGCACAGTGACACAGTGATGAAACATAGCAATGGGCTCGATGCTGCAATGCAAAAAAAGGGTTTTATTCCCATATCTGTCTTCATTTGTGTGCTTTGGGGTCAGCAGGAATTGCCCCAAAGGTGAATACTGCTCTTGGAATATGCTGAGCTATTAATTACTTTCAGGGCTCTTCTCTAGTAGGCACTGACTCCTAAGGGGTTTATAGTTCATCCTCTAATGTGTGGGTTTAGAAATAAATATGCTTATTTCCAGTTTCTTTCTGAGGGAAATATTATAGTGTATTTAAGGTTCAATTTAACTGCATTTCTGAAAATCACTTTATGCAGAGGATGGGCTGCTGGGGAAAGGGAGACCAAGGAGCTGGTCCTTAAAGAAGTTCTCATTTCGGCTCTGAGCTCAAATTTTAATTTACTTCTCACGGCAGTTTGAAGCCAGTGAATAAAATGCAAGCAGAGTTAGTTTTTTTGTCATCCTTAAGAAAATAAGTTAGAGTGGGTCCTTGCAGTTTGCTGATCCAGGATTGTTTTAAGATACAATTGTTAGGCATGTTTCAAAAAGAAAAAAAGATCTTTCAAGAGCTCATTTCCCAGAACATTACCAGCCAACAGCTCGAATGGGCTCACGCCACACAACAATTGTTGACTAATACTATGTGCTTTGCAAAGAAAAAAAAAAAAAAAAGAAGAAACAAACTGTTATATGTTTTTTGTTGAGATATATTTAGAGAGCTTTCTTATTGTTAAGGGCTTTAGGAACAATAATCAGTGGTATGTCATTCTGGTATTGTTAGCAAAGTCCTTTCTATTGAATTTTCAAGATGTTGTAAAGTGAGATTATGTGAGTAGCACCTCTGGACACTTTTTCCCATCATTGTGTTGGTATCAATCGCCGACTTCCCTGTTTCTCCTGGTATTAAATGAAAATGTTGTTTCCCACTACGCTGATTGGAGGCTGTATAATGCATGACATAACTGATAACCCTACTGAGATTACACATTGTAAGATTCCAACTGCACGAGAAATTTGGACAACAAAGTAGGTGGCCACTTGGACTGGGATACAAAGTTTAAAAGAGAATGTACTGGGATCATTGTTTCAGCTGAAAAGAAGAAACATTACAAACGGATAATTTACGAGGCTGGTTCCTCAGGTTTTGGGAAAACGCTCCTTTTTTGTTTTTTAACGTTGTTGTTCTGTGGGGACAGTAGGTAGAATTTATTTTCCAAGGGCAAAGTGTTGCCCTAGGGCTCCTCAGCCTCGCTCACCCCTGGCAGAGCTGTATTAGAGCAGAAACCCACACCCTGCTGCGACTCCTGACATTTTCCAGAGAGGAAATATTAAAAATTCAGTGGCAGAGTGGAGGAGGAGTAAGTTATACTTTGGAATAGCAGCGAGCTGAGAAAGCCAGATTTTTCTACTCTGCAATAAAACCCCCTGAAAATAATGAAAGGTTTTGAGCTGACTTCTGTGCTACACCCCACCAGTATCTGGGCAGGATAAAGAGCAAATAGGGAGCTCCCTCATAGCAACCTTACACCATGTCAGGTTGTTTTGCTCTTGTGCTTCAGAAGGATTTTTTTAAGAAATAACTGAGCTGATCAATGCCTCTGTGCCATCCTGCTGGTTACCCGCTCCTGCTTCTTTTCCCCCAGCACCACAACAAGTTTAGGGCGGTTCAAGATATTTGTTGGGTTTTTTTGGGTGGGGTTTACCCCAGTCTCTGTTCCTGCTCTACTTTATTCTTCACACAGTGGCCTTCTGTCCAACTTTGCTGTTTCCTAGGGTGGCATGTCCAGAGCTTGGCTCATGGCTGGCACAAGGGGAAGGAGAGGTCACTGGCATCCCACTCCCTGCCCATCCTCACAGGCAGCAGAGAAAACCCTGGGGAAATACTCAGCTACAAGCCAAGCTCCTGCCCTTCAACACCTCTCAGCCTGGTCTCTGTGCTCAGCCAGGACAGGGACAAATTCAGAGCTCACCCTGGCACACCTCAGCTGATGGGGTGTTCAGTCCAAAAGCAGTTCTTGATCTCCCATTCAAAGCTTTTATGGCTGAGTGTAAAGCTGGAGTGAGTTGCTCCGTGCAGTGGTTAAGGTTTTAATAGCTCTTAAGTAATAAAAACAGCAGAGCTGCTTCCAGGGAGTACCAGGGAATCAAGTCTAAATGTAATAAAGGTCTCTCCTTCGTTATGGTGGATTGCAAAGTGTTTTGTGGCTTGTGGTTGCTCAGAGCAGAGGGGCTGTGGATCCTTCTGAACCAAACTTTTACTGCACCAGTGTGATTGCAGCTGGCTGGACCTCACACCTCTGGGAGGGTGACAAGTTAGTCTGAGAGTGGCAAACATTTTTCTTCCTTAGGAACTGAGTCCAAGGCTGGATGCTAGAAAATATTCCTGGCCATGCTCAGATGGGAGATGAATTCAAGAGAAGACCCAGCAGGCCACAGGGTGCAGGGGACACATTCCAATGGGGCTTGTTCTACTGGACAAGGAGTGATGGTTTCTTTTAAGCTAAAAGAAGATCTATTTAGACTAGACATAAAGAAGATTTTTTTACAATGTTTTTTGTTGAGATATATGTTGGTCAGGCTGCCCTGACCCTGGAAGTGTCCACAGCAAAATTGTGGAAAATGTCCCAGCCCATGGCAGAGGGGTTGGAACTGGATGGCCTTTAAAGGTCTCCTCTAGTCCAAACTATTGTATGACTCTATGAAACATTTGGGTACAGTAAAACACTTGCTTCCTTAATTAGGAAGATCAAAATCCTTCAAATATTTGTAGGAATCAGTTTTAAATTAGACCATTAGGTTTTGTCCTCTGATGCTTTACTTTTATTTGGATGACGGATGACCTGATACTGAGCCTGCTGGGATTTCCACATAGATCCCTCTCAAATTCAGGAGAGGTTGAATGTTAAAATTAATTTTAACATAGCTCATGCCTGAATTTTAATTTTTTTCCTAATGTATCAGCACTTCAGATGTCAAAAACCTTTTGCTATTTCAGGAGTGGAGAAAGATGTGCTGCTGAGATGGAAGAGGATCCTTGGAGGATGCTGAGGTCAGGTTTGCACTCTGTGTGTGGAGAGGGCAGCTCACCACCTTCCTCTCTTTTGCTGGCAGCTTTGAAGAAGGAGACCCCACATCGAGCTGCTGCTGAGCACCCTGAGCTCTCTTATCCATGCTGAAATCTCTCTCTCCACTTGTGAACCTTTCCAGGAACTTTTCTTGCAGCAGTTCCTCCAGTGGCCACCCTGGGGAAGGCAGAGGGGCTGGTGTGGCCTGGACAAAGGGGCTGCTTTCCTGCAGGACCACGTTACCCCCCTGCATGCCTCCCCCCAATTAGCCTGGACCTTAATTGGGGCTGACACGCGCCCGTTGAAAGAGATTCCCCAGGAATTAAAGCGCTGCTCCTCTGGTTTGGGTTGGCTGCTGATGTGAAACATGACATGATCTTGGAGGATTTTCTGAGCTTACCATGAAGCAAGGCTGCCCCCGGTATCAAGCGGGCTTTGTGCTGGGGCTGTAATCATATTACAAATTGAACGCTTCCACATGTGCGCGCTGGCACATCCACCCTCGCCTATCTCGCATGTATCTGCCCCAAGGTACAGATGCTGAGGGCTTGACACAGCATAATATGGATCTCAATATATTTTCCAGATTGCCTTAGCACATGCTAATGAAAATGAGGAGTAAAAGGCCCGTGAGAAGCAGCTGTTTAAAATTTTCTTCAATCCCCAAAAATCAACTTCTTAATTACTGATAATTTAAGCATCAAAATCACCACTAACCCTCTTCTCCCACTAGGCCCTCCCAAGCTGGGAGGCCTGCTCGAAGACTCTTGGGCAAAACTTTTTCTTAGAAGTGTAGCTTTTCATCAAATTTCTTCAGCTTTTCTGGAATTAATTAGTATTAAAATAAAGCAGGGAAAGGGCGAGTAACTGCTGGAGGTGCCTTCCCTCAGACCTCCTGCTTAGACTGCTAAGGCTCATTGTACCACAACACTTCCATATTTCTACGGCACCTTTCATAACAAAGGATTCCCCAAACTTCTCCAAATGGATTTATAGATATAAATAGCTTCAATTGCCTTTAAAATGTGCACTTTCTTGGATCAAAGAAAGCAGGCTTTGCTTCTATCGTGCAAAAGGATCTGTGTTCAGTCTGGTTTGGGTTCATACCTAGTGGGGCAACCAGTCCCAAGCAAAGTTTAGGCAGTGGTTTTGGGATAAGGGCTGGCAACATATTCCATGAGTTCCTGGATCACTGTGTGGCAGTGGGGCCTCTTTCCAGGGATTATCTAAATGTTAGTCTTGTTAAAATCTAAATTCTGGGATAATTTTGTTGAGAATTGTTTTCCTCTAGCAGCAAATAAGTCTGAACCAGAGGAAAAAAATAATGGAAAAGAAGGTGTACACAGTACTTATTTTTTACTTTTTATTTGATGTTCACCATCTTCCCAGCCTTCCCTAAATGACTCTGAACTTGAGTTGAGCCTTTCCTAAAGCTGGCACCATTTTCTGTAGAGAAACAGAAGCTGAATTAATCTGGCTCTTGCCAGCCCCATGCTAGGTGTGCTCACACAGAGCCAGTCAATGGATGGGAGCAAGGCTGGTTTTGGCCAGGCTGCAGAAAACATTTTCCTGCTAACTGGAGTCCTGGCAAGGAGCATGGGGTTTGACATGGAAAAAGGGGGTTTGTGTTTGCTGCTGGATACCTTTTTTTTGTTTAAATCATTACTGGAAGCATCTTTAAAACTGACTTTTCCACAACACTCTACGAGAGAGCAACAAAACCACAACTAAATATAGCTGGAAGGCAGAGAGCAGAGTGGAGCCATCCAGGAGCTCACAGTGAGTCTCTACATGGGAGAGACCTGACAGAAACTTTTAAAGCTCAAAACATGCACGGAGCAACGGGCCAAACTGAATAGCTGAGCAAAAGCAGCCCTGCAAATGCTTTTATAATAACTTCCCCTGCCATTACTCCACAAATGTACCCATTGGAAACAGCAGCTGACATGAGAATGGTGACTGAGACCCACTGGGCTATTGAGGAGCTGGGCCAGGGTGAAATATTGATTAATCATCTTGTCAGGCTGGGGCTTTGCTCAGTTCTGTAGATGGGAATTGAGAGGGTAATGTGCAGCTCCTCCATGTAGGAAGGCTGCTGCATCACATGGGAATGATTTGTTGACTTACGGAAAAGTGCTACAGTGGGGCGAACAGTAGGATGATGCTGAAATGAGACAAAGGGATTTTTGAAAAGTATTGACTTTCTTTTTTTTCCTCAGAAAAAATTAAATCACTGTAGTAGAAAGCCAGAAACATCAATCCTCACTCAGCATCTGTTTGCACCTGGACAATTGCACCTGTGTGGTCCATTGGGGAGGGTGTGACACAAAGACAAAAACTATCCAGTTTTCTTTGTTTATTGGGGGATGAGATGAGTAATCAAATCTGGGTTTGCTTTTCAGCTATTCCTCTGGGTGAACAACTCTAGTACTGAGACAAGGCAGTGAAAATCAAGGTCATGGTAAGGGATCTACATGGAGTTGAAGGACCCATTGATATTACAGAAATACACTTTGTCCCCTCTGCCCATCAAACCCCATGGGCAGTGCTGCACTGTGACAAGAAAATACCAAGTTCCAGACAACCAATGGGAAAATGAGCCCAGGGATTGGTGGCATTTGCTCCCTAATGGTCACCAGAGCTGGTTATGGGCAGGTTGAGCTAACCCTGAGCTCAGCTCAAGGAGTACTTTACCTGGCAGGTCTATGATAGGTGTGCTGCTTAACCCAGAACATTAAACCCAGGGGACACGGTCCCACCCTTTCTCCACCTCCCAAACCCTCTTTCATCTAGGGCAGGTGAGGGCAGAGCTGATAACAACTGTCATTGCATCAAATTAAAGGGGAAAACGATCTGGAAAGCTGTTTGCAGATAAAACTTGACTTGATTAATCTATTTGTTCTTTGTGTTTGGCAGAAACCTAAAACCAAGTTTCACAGTGGCTTTAACTGCCCTAAAAATAATGGCCTATTTATGCAATTATCTGCATGTACGTGGCCATTACCTCAGGCCACTGCAGTACAAGAATATGCACACGGGATTTTTTTTTTTCATCTATTTACTTTTTTTCCAGGTGGGGTTTAGGCTTCCTGCATGAAAACCATTCCAGTGTAGGTTCTCAGCTTGCCACCAACTTGTGCAGAAGGCTCTCAAGCTGAAGGAGCAAACCAAACAAGCCCACACCTGGGCTGAAGACAAGAATGACACATACAGGTTATTCTGAAATATAACTTAAATATCTTATTAAATATCTTATGAGCTATGAGAGGTCTTTGGGCACTGACACAGGCTGAGAGAGGAACACCTCAGCCCTTCCATCTCTGCTGATGAGAAGATCAGCAAGATGGGCATTCCCTGGGAAAATGCTGGCTTTTCTTACATCCCCCTTCCACAGGTTGCCCAGAAGCAGGGATTCCAATCTGATTTCAAAGGGAACACAAATTAAAATACCCTTTTTTTCCCTTTTAGACTCTAAAAGGCTTGTTTTATGCAATTGAAGGCTCATTTAGCTTCTCAGCCATGGATTTTGATCACTCTGGTGAGTGAATATTTCACTATGCACCAGCCAAGCCACTTCTTCCCAACCAGCAGCAAGCAGGCAAAACTCAAAGTCAGGGCTCTACAAGTGCCTTTGAAGGTGACACTGCACCAACCTCTTCTGTGAAATGACCTAAATATCCCTCTTTTCCAAGGTAGTGTTTTGAAACTTAAAGGACTTACTAAACCCCTCCAACAGTCAGTCTATTGAGAGGCTCTGGCTCGGGTCCCACATTTCATGGCCAAGTCCAAGACACCTCCCAGTGCCCCATCCTCTGGTTGCCCTCATGACCCCACAGATCCATCATTGCTGCAGGGGAAATGATCCTTTTGTTTTTGCCCCCAACTCAGACAAAACCAAGACAAAAAGGAAATGGATCCCTTCAGTTTTGTAGTCCTTTATTATTTTTTTTTTAAGTTGATCCTCCCATAGTAATGTACTGAAATGCGTAACAGTTACATTGTACAAAGCATTTAAAGAAAGTACCTCAACTTGCCGATTATTTCAAAATGAGATTATAAACAAAAGGAAAAATAAATCTGGTCCCTCACTAAAGGCCAAAAAAACCCCCAAAAAATAACTGAATACCTTCCGTTATTTATTTATTTTTTTAAAACATAAATTTGGAACACTTCATCTTACAAATAGGATTAACATGAACATAACATCACACAAGCTCGCAGACAACCAGCATAAAATATTGGGTACAGTTTTTTTAATCAGAAGAATCATGCTTTCATGAAGAAATTATAACTGTTTATACAATCGAATCAATTTACTGTATTACAAAAAAAAAAAAAAAACAGAACAAAACTAAGTCGCATCTATTAGTTATTTAGTTCATTAAAAGGCAAAAAAAAAAAAAAAGAGGAATGTAAGAAAATTTCAAACACTGTTTTGCACTCCCATATACACAGATCAGTTCACCTCACTTTTTTTGGAAGTACATGGGTGCCTTACGTCGTAACGCAGTGGGGGACTGGAGCAGTGCTGTTTGTTACAGGAACAGTGCTATTGTAATCAACAAACAATCGTTTGCCAACAAATAAATACACGGTACACACAACACAAAGGAGAAATTAAGAGGGTAGGGGGGAAAGGAAACAATACAACAAAATAGTGACATGATTGTCGAAAATTAAAGAATCTCCTTACAATGATTCGAACTAGTGGTGCTGTCGATGAACGCGGTGCTTTCACGGAATTATTTGGATGATTTAGCTTCTTGTAGTAGTGAACATTCATAGTTTACAATATACACAAGCCTCTTATGTATTGTTTCTCAGAGTTCTTTCTTTTTCTGCCATTTTTTTTCTCCTCGTTTTTCCTTTTTTTTTTAAACAATGCAGTTGAGAAGGTAAAAGAATTATGGAGAGAACAAAATATTCCCTGTTACTTCTTTCTACATTTACGATGGATAGTGTGCATTTGATAGAACTATTTTCTTTCCTTGAAGGGCTAAAATGCATAAAGCTTTAATGAAGAGATTTGTACATAAAAGCAACTGTTCCCAATCCTGTGTCAAACTATCTTATACAAAAAGAAAATCAATTCAGTTCCTACTTTAAAGGAGTGCCCATGTGTGTATCAATGCAGTCTTAACCCTCCTGCCCCTGCCCCTCAAAGCCGGGTGAACTGGAAGACACTTTTTCCCGGCCCCGTTTACGTAATCCACTGAAACAATTTTTAAATTTTTATTTTTTTTTTAAGTCGCATTGATCCTCCAGAAGTCAGCAGCTGCCTTTGCTGTGCAAAACAAAATATTGAGAATAAATAGTTTCTTTCTTTTTTTTTTTTTTTCTTTAAAATTATTCCGTTTAAGGTCACCGGACTTTAAATGAGTGACCCTGCAGATTTATAAGGCATTCTGCTCAGCAGTCTTTTAAATAGTCATATACGAAAGAGCCATGCTACTGGTTTGGACTTGGTCCCATCCTCGGAACGACGCCGCACTGTCATACGTGGCTGATGGACTGGATGGCGCTGGATTCCGCGGCGGCTCTCGCCATACTGTGCCACATGTTGGGAGAACTGTGGGGTGCAGAATGGAGGGAGTCCTTCTCGGAGAGAGAGAGCATCATGGCATAGGCCTGCATGGGGACAGAAGAGGGACAAGGAGGTCACACTTCTGAGCTTGGACCTGCGCCACCCGTGCGCGGCCAGGGCGGCAGGCAGGCTACAGCCATGGGGTTCAGCTTATTTAAAAAAAAAACCGACTAAATGCTTTAGGTAAAAACCACTGTCAACCCCTTCACTGACACTTTTGACTCACTAATAGTAATAATAATTTCTGCTTTCATCTGGTTTCACAAAGCTCAGAGGAGCCTTTAATAGTTGACAAGGTCCCAAAGTCTCCTTTGCCTTCAGATTCTTGGCACAGGAGTCTCTTTTCAAGAGGCTGAGGAATCACATTATCCCTTGTCTCGTCCTGTATTTCACCAAATGTAACAGTCTCCTTTGCTGACCTTTCCTACATGCATATTCTGCAGTTTTTAAAACAGGAATCTTTCAAAGGGGCTAAAAAACCCCATTTTAATTAGTTAATGTTTAGAAAACGGCAAAAAATAGCACCAGGATGCCATTTCAGTTATTGCTGTTTGTAAAACATGCTGAGGAGCTAAAGGTGGTACCATCCATCAAAAAATAAAAAAAATACCAAAAAGCCAAGCCAGCCAGAAGATCAAGTCACATCCCTGTGAGGCTGAAGCTAAAATCTGCAGCATCAGTGTCAGCAGAGTGGGACTAGTTCTTATTGTGGCATTTCTGAGGGCAGCAAGCAGAACAAAAATAGTAAAAAAAAATAAGAAAAAAGTATGGAAATCTTCTGTTCTCCGGGACCAGAGCGCCCTGCCATGTCTTTAGGGTTCAGTGGGATGTTGGGTGAGCCTGAGGTTTGTGGACATGAAGCTGTCAGCTCTGTCTGACAAAGCTGGAACAACCCTGCCTGCCACACACTAACAGCTTAATCCTGCAGGTATTTGGTGACAGAAATATTTTAACTGAGTTAAGCTTTTACCTGGGATTTGGATTTCCTGTACAACGGTTGCTTGAGGTCCTCTGGCAGCTGGGAAGCATTGAAAGCTGCCAATTCAGCTTCACTGTATTGATTTTCTTCCATTTTCCTCATTTTGAGGCTATCTGTGAAGTGCCTTATGTGGTCCAAAGCTGAAAGTCCAGTCTTATTATACTCCTCTTCTTTATACCTACAAAAACACCATGGAGGTTTTAAATGCCAATTAAATGATCCTCTCTGCGTGCCCTCTTCTTAGATTTACACATCTGAGAAATTTCCCCCCTTTTCACATTCATAAACCACTTTGCCTCATGGAATGGCGATTCTGAAGTAAAAGGAATTCCCTTTTCTGCTCCAAAGAAAGGGCAGCTGAGTGGGGGAGGGAGAGTTTTCCTCTCTCATGGTGTCTCCACAGCCTTTCACAAGGCCATTATGAGAGGTCCAGGACGGCTCGTGGAGCAGATAACGTCTCTCCCATGGAACTGTCTCACCCTGCTTCCTGTCTCACCCAGAACCTCACAATAGCTCCCCAAGCACACTCAGTTTTCCTAACAAGGGCTCCAGCCTGCACGAGGAGGCTGAGAGCAGGGCTGGTGCTGACCCAAACACGGACTCAGGTCACTATTGTGAGTGGGGAAGCGGCCGCTCTGCAGCGGTTCCCACAGCAGCTGGTTTGGTGCTGGCACTCCTGCGTGGTTTATTGTTCCCATCCTGCCTATCGGGCACACCAATACTCGGAAGGAACCAACCTGCCAGGGGAAGCTTTGCAGTTCATGTCCAAAGCCCTCGTTTCCTCATAATCCTCCTCGGGAGTGCCCTCATGCATGTCACTCGTCGCGGGCTCTTTGACTGCCTTCCCTGCCACTTCGCTCTCCTCATCCTCTTCATCCATCATTACTTCATCCTCTGCCTCCTCGTCGTCCAGCAGATCCGAGTTCTGGCTGGCTACCATGGCTTTTTCATCCTTAAAGTGGCTGCCATTCATTCTGAAAGGACCAAAACAAATGCAAGCTATAAACACAGATCAGATATGAAAGCTTCTCATGGGCAGACTCTTGGAGGCAGATCTGAAAAGCATCTGTCCCAGCAGAATAAAGTGATTTCTGTATTTTATATCTTGCTTAGCTTCAGACATTCAGGCAGCATTGGAGAAAATTCCACTCAGAAATCAGTGGGACGTTACAGCACCATCAGCATGGGATTTTCCTGTTATCCTCCTAAAACTACTGTTCTAACAAGAGGCGAGTTCAGATAACCATTCCAAATTTTCCCATGCATTATTTCATCTCAAGTTTCCAATCATATATTTAGTCTGGGCAAAACAACTCACTGCCTTTGAACAGAAGCTGTAGGGGCCAATAAACTTTGAAAATCGGATCTGGCATTTTTTAAAAAAATGACATCCAATATTGCATTCAGAGTTTTAAAGTCAAAATTACATGCATAATTAATTTTGCCCACTACCACCCCTCTGGAAACCATATTGCTTCACTGAATGTATGGATTTCATACATGGGAAGCTAAGGGACTTCAGCTGGAGACCTGAAGAGTGGTCTGCAATGTCACCTCCATGTTGAACTAGGTTATTGACTCATTTGAAGGGTAAAAAGCAATGAAAAGAAAGGTCATAAGGCAATTTAAGTGCATTTATTCTTATTAAATGAGTAATTACAGCAATACACACATGGAAAACCATTTGGTCTACAAACTGTTATTACGCTGCCCTTTGCTCTCAGACAATGACTTCTCTTAACTACTTCCTACGGGATTTTTATCAAGGACATAATACCCACGCTGAAGTAGGGGTTGTTTGGTAATGGTCTCAACCCTGTAGGATTCAGACTGCATTGTGTCCATCACATCAAATGAGAACTAAAGAAATTCAACACGGCCTCAACAAACACCCAACCAGAGGCACAGGGACATGAACAAGCTGCACCTACTGGAACCCCCTCAAAATTCATGCTACCACCGTATCTGCCCCCACCACGTCATGCAGCACAGAGGCCTTGATTCATCTATTGTTCTCATTGTGCAAAAGGTCCTTAACTCTTCCAGGAATACAGTTACAAAAATGGAAACCTTATTGTCCGCACGCAGTTTGCCTCAGACTCCGTGTGCTTCAAACTGTGCGGGACAATATGGGACAGACCCAACGTTGGAGCAAGATAAGATGAGCCCTCACAGCCTTGCTGGTGTTTGACATTTGACTTTCTGAGGAGCAAAGCTGGTCTCTGCCACAATAACAGCACCATTTTCCTGAACATATTAGAGTTTCATCTATTTTCCGAGCAAATTCCAGCTGACTGCCATGAGTTTAATATTGCATTGAAAAAAGCTCTTGGGAACTGAGTCTGTCTTTAGAAGAGTATCAAAAAAATCTGAGGTTGTGCAGAACAGGGAGAGCTGAAGCAGCCATCTCTCTCTAAGATCATCAGAAAAATATCTCTTTATCATCTTTTATTTAAATAGGCAGAAATAAGAAATTGTTGAGCTCAGTCTGGGCTGCCAACTTGCTTGTTATGCTCAATTGAGGCCGCTAGAAATGAAAGGGAGATGGACTACAACCAAAGTAACAAAAGCCATGTGATTAAGAAAACAGATTCTCTAATTATGCTTTCAAATGCAGCAATTTGCCAGGGATAAAATATCCGTCAAGAGCAGTCTGAAGTGCCAAATTTAGAAAGGAAACACTGCACAACCCAGCAACCTTTCCACTTTGCCGACTTCCTGTCGGAGGACATGTTGAGACCAGATGTGCGAGGAAAAAAATCCCAAGCCCTCATTGCCAATCAAGATGGAATGAAATTTGAATATGCATGTAATCACTTAATCCAATACCATAGTGGAAATTGTGTCATGTCCACCCTTTTTATCCCTTCACAAAGGCATCAAGAAATTGAGGAGACAGCAAAGTTTGCCACCAACAGTAGGAATTTTTTGATGTTGATAACGCAATGCCAATTCAAAAGGGAAAATAATGCATAATGCAACACCAACCCCAAAGAAATATGTGGGGGCTCCGTCCCACAGCCTTTTCTGCTTAGCTGTACTTTTATTAACTGAAAATATTTAGAAGTGGTCTCTCTTCTGTTAGTTCAGAAGAATTCAAACACCCATATACTTAATAAATCTTAGTAGAAAAAGCTCTTTCACGTGCTGGAGCTCTGTGGACTCCCAGCGCCCACCCGCAGCCTCACGGGCTTTTGGCTACTCAGCATCTTTCTTGGGATTGAGTTACTTACGGGAAAGGACTTCCAGCTACAATCTTTCATTTGATCCAAGAATTTAGCCCTGTCTACTTTATTAATTACACATTTAAATTGCACTTAAATCCTAAGGCTCCATGCATCTAGCCACAGGATGTAGAATTCACCTGTTCTGCCGTGAATGTAAAGAGAAGGAATTTTTCAGCAGGCTTAAATTAACGGTGGGAGCCTGAAACTGAGAGCTCCAGATACAAGGAGAAATGTGTTCACAGATGGAATCTCTTGTCCAGCATCTGCCACTTGGAACATCTTCATGCACAGTGGGGAGGGAATCAACACATTTCTTTTCCTGAGACACCAAGGTGGCCACTGAATCAACCAGATTCTGAAATAACTCTGGCTCCAGACACCATCAAAAGTGAACAATCAGGTCTGCAGACCTGGAAAAGGAGTGGTGGGCACCTTCTGAAGGCAGATCACACACAACTCACCTCTCCTCTGAGTTTTGGGGGGATTGATTGTTGTGGTTGCTGTTTCCAATAAAATTCCTAATTTCTGTGAAGTAAGAGTCCTCCTTGTCATCAAGGATTGCCCCTGTGCTTTCCAGTTCTGAGTGAGGTGAAGATGTTGCAGTACCTTAAAGCAAAACATATGATTTTTTTTCTGCTTCTTTACA